TGCTTGCTCGCGCGGCTGCGGAAGCTTGAAATCGAGGGCCTCCCTTGCCTGTCTCGCCTGCCCGAAAACTTCGGGCAGCTGGAAAAACTCGCGCAGCTGAAGCTTCGAAGCGTGTCAGTGGAAAGCCTCCCTGAATCCATTGGCTCGCTGTCCAGCCTGGGAGAACTAAGTATTTATGGCTGCCCAATTCTCACGCGCCTTCCAGACGCGTTCAACCAGCTCCCCAAGCTGAGGACGCTCACCGTGGAGAATTGCCGCAGGCTGGAGCAGCTGTGTCCGTCCATGGCTGCTTGCGCGAGCCTCGAGAGTCTGACTGTTTCGTGGTGCGAGAAATTCGAGTCCTTGCCCGCGGATTTGGGGAGGTTACCCCGACTGCAAAGGGTGCGTGTGCACAGATGCCCGAAGTTGAAGCACTTGGCAGCACCGCTGGGAAAGGAAAGCAGCGGAGCAAAGGTGATTGTAGACTAGTCAGGGGTGAAACGTTCAGCCGCGCGTGTGTGGGCGACGCTCGGGTGTAGAGGCCGCTGCTCGGCCTGCCGTTCAATGTTTTGGAGCAGCTCCAAATGAATTCGGTGTGTTGGTTTGGGTTAGCATGACAGTCAGGAGGTGAAGTCAACCCACCCGTTTTCACAGGTAAAGGACTGACAAGCCAGTGTTGACTGGCTTTGCAGACCCTCAGGAGCCAACGACCGCCAGTCTGGTTGCTAATTGAACCAAGGTTCAAGGAGCTTCAGATGATTTCACATTGTGGGGTATTATTTGGCTTATGACAGCATCTTGGAAGGGTTATGAAGCCTGGTATGCAGCCTTGTACAATATGGACTGCTTTATTGATTGGCCTCTCTTTTTCTTAAATTTGAGCAATACTGAAAGAACGCAATATCGAGGTACTATCTGTTACAATGTAGCATAATTACGCAAGGAAAAGGAGTGGAAACGGGAAGAGAGGAGAAAAGGAGGAATAACGTGAGTAGAAAAAAGGAGAGAGGAAGAAAGAAGGAGGGGAATAGGGGAAAAATGATAGGAGGAAGAAAAACAGGGAAGAAGGAAGAAAAAGTAGCACACACAACCCCAAGAAAACCCCAATAGCACACACATTTAAAACACCATCAAGCCCTCCCATCAAAGCACCCCAACTGCACTCCCATCGAACCAAACCTCCCCCCCTAAACCCACTCCCTAAACCCGCATGTCTACCAAGTATGGTGCATCCGCCCACGGAGCATCCCATCCCATCTCCTCCTCAACATCCTCCCGCTCCACCCAAACAGCCTCTGGGCCTCTCATCATCGACGCAGCGCGTAACAAGATCACACGCGCCTGAGCCCGTTGCAAAGCCACACCCACAGCCGCTTTGAGCGATCCGAGCAAATAAGCCGAGAAACCCTTTCCCGTAGCTCGCGCCGCCCCTTTCGTCTTTGCTATCTCGATCTGCGCGTCACCCTGCTTCTTAAGCCACCGTCCAAAACTCCCCCCCAAGCATCCCCATGTCTCAGCAATGAGTGGTGTGAACTGCACTCCCCCATGCCGCTGTAGAAGCGATTTGTAGTCCGCCGTCTTCCGCTTTTCTCTCTCTCTCGCGGCAAAACCCACCTTGCGACCAATCTGTCCATGGTGCTGCGCGGATAGCGAGATAGGATCTACCACACTAACCTCCAGCGCGTGTTCCTCCCCCTCCCTCAGTTTCCGAACCGCCACATCAACCCTCTTCCCTGGGAGCAACGTGTCGTCTTCCAAGGTCACAATCCCACCCGCACCCTTAGCTATCTTTGCCACCACAAATTTAACCGCATCGTGAACCCGAGAAGGTGCATACTGATACTTGCAGCGAAGGGTATGATGCGGGTCAGAGGGATCAGCAAACTCAAACCCACACGCGCACTTGCCGGCCACTATCAGCTGCTGAATAGGGAGGCCTAGGCGCATGGACGCGCATATGCTCCACTTGGCTGCGGTGAAGGTAGCCTCCTCATGCGAAGGAACGGCAGAAACCCACGCCCCAGCCCCCGGGCCCTGAAGGGATGTCAAACGGGCCAGGGTGGCATCGTTGTGGGCCATGCCTCGAAGAGATTGGAGGCTCTCAACCGCCAGGCGACGGTGTTGTGTGGGGAAGAGCAGCATAGGCGGATCAGCGGTGCACAAGGCAAGGGGTGGCATCTCCTGCCAAACCGACTGTGGAAGCAGATCCACTGCTCTCGCAAACCAGGGGTCCAACAAGGTCGTAGCCTCGGGCGTGCGGAAAAACTCATCAAACATCCGCTCCTCACCTGCCACCCCCAACCGAGCCATCTATATGCTTAATGCCCAGCTCCACTGCGCCGTAGTTGATACACAACAACTGTGCTTTCATCTTCATCCATTTCAAATATATTTTTAATTAATAATCCATTTCAGCCCCGCCCCGTGGCACCCATTTTCTCCATACTAGCAACGGACTCTCAGTACCCTTCCCCACCTCCCTCATTTGTCAGTTCTCAGGCTAGCACTGCCACGTTTTTCCAGCTACTAAAAAGCACCAGTGGGTGCCATGTTCCAGGCATGTGTACAAGAAAGGGCGCTAGAATTATATAGATAACGTCTAAGGCTGTAATGATTTGGAGAACTATTTCACATTGTAACAACTTCTTTATCGATTTTACCGTGCACCCTTTATTTACAACTTGGATCACTGCTTCACAGGGCAAAGAAGAGCAGACCATTGACATTGGCGCTTCGGACATGTCTGAGTTCCGCGTTCGATGCTATCCCAGGCTGAAAATCATGGAAAATGGGCAGTTCTCAGCGCAACTCACCAACAGCCACAGCCAAACAGGCCAACAAATCAAACCGAGTAGCCGTTACAGCGAGTTTGCGTTAGCAGAACACCGTTTCCTATTTCATACCATGGATGGAATGTTAGTGCGAGAGAAGCATCCGATGGTGTCAAGTTGGGGCATTTATACACTCTATCATGGAATGTATTTCAAAGGTTAGTTTGTTTACGTATGCAGTTACTATTTATAGGTGATAATCCTGCTATGTATTCACTTACTCACGTCCAGTTGGAATTATATCTTTACTATTTTTAGAGAAATATCAACGACAATTATGTAAAACAATAGGAACGATTTCATTAGGAACAAGATTATATAAAGAGCATGGCATACTGACCAATGCTTCTATTCAGCCAGTTAAGGTACTATTTGTTTCTACATTTTTTTTTGTAATAAGGCAAAACATAACTAATCCTACCATTTTGTTTGCTGTCAAAGTTATGTATTTGCATTTACACCTTTTCCTTTGTGCCATTATATAAATAGGAGTTAACATCTGTAGTGATATAATGCCAGCAAAAACTAATCAATGTTTTTTTTAGGTAATTGATATGTACACCGAACAGAACAAGCATACATAATTAATAACAGTCGTAACTGTGCATGAGGGGACGCCACACGGCCGCCCCAGATGTGGCCTCTAAGGAGGTCGGTGAGTCATCCGCGGTGCAATCCAGACATTTGCGAATGTGTTCGTCCACGTCCACGACTTGCGATTTTTATCCCTGATCCGAAACAGCATCTTGTCCTCTTGCTCCATTGTGCGACGAAACTTCTCCTCCTGACGTGTACCTTGACACTTCTTCCACCTCGTTTCTCTTGTCCGCGTGTACAACCTTGCATGAAGCCGAAAAGCCGTTTCAACCTTCCGGAGCACCCTCCTCGCTCGAAAATTTCGCCCCCGAAAAACGGCATCACACCGCTCCAGCCACAGCTGATGAAGTGTGATTGGCGTTATCGGAAAAAAAACTTATCAATATAATGAATAACAGACTATAATAATTTGATAAGATGCTTTTATTTTCTGAAGCAACTGTGTTGTGAAGAAAATTCGAGATACGAAGCATGGTTTCATTGTGTTGGGGAGCTGATGTCATCAAATGGGTCGATATCTCACCAGCGAGCTGAGTTCGATGTTAACGTACATTTGGTGTAGTATCAACTGCAGTTCACCCGAGCCACGCTCCCAGACCTGGTTTTCGAGGTTGGAGGCCTGATGCTGAGAACAAAAGCGGCGCCTGGGCTTCATGTGCACCTTTCTGCCCCTGCTCTGCTCCCCAGATTTCTTGTTGCCGGGCGGCCACGCGGAGTGGGAAAAAAACATCGAGAAAGTTGTGTTGATGTGTGTTTTGTGTTGCCCGGTTTCGTTGCTCATGGCGTGGTAGCGGGTAGCTGCGGTAGGTGCTCACCTCAACTTGAATTCCTCCTTTCCTTCAAACTACGACGCGCTTCTCGCGCGCGTCGACCGTGCCCCGCATTACCGCACCTTCCGCGCGTCGTTCTCAAAGTAGCGACTCCTATAAAGCGGCACGTCGCTTTTCCAGTACCAAATCCGCGCCGCCTCTGCTTTCCTCCATTGCTCCCTGCAAACGTCGCTACCACCGCCTTAACGCGGCCCTCCTCGCAAACGATACAAACACCAGCTCTGTAGCATTTCTCGCGCTACTAATAATACTGCAGCCACTGTCCCGACGATAGGCACACTCCCGCTGTGGCGCAGCGCAGCGCCGCACCCGTCGCTGCGCGATCCGCGAAGTCGTCACCATCACCACGCAGCAGCGCCGCAACGAGCCTAGTCGTCTCCCTGCGAAGACCCGCATTTCCTTCACAACTGGCGTCGCCGCCGTCGTACCTCCGAGTCCGCCCGCCCCCGGGCGTCCCCCCGCCCGCACCTTCTCCGCTCGTGCGCGGACCATCTGGCACTCCTACGCCGCAGCAATCGAGTGCGAAGGGCGCTTTGGGGGCGAATCTCACCTCCGCGCGCCGGTGCTCCCTTCAATTACTACTAGCTGATCTACACTGCGACAGCGCGACAGTGCGACAGTGCGACAGTGCGACAGTGCGACAGTGCGACAGTGCGACAGTGTGACAGTGCGATAGTGCGACAGTGCGACAACGCGACAGTGCGACAGTGTGACAGTGCGACAGCGGGACCGGGCCGTCCTACTTTTAACCGCTCCTGGCAGCATGATGGCGCGGCGACGCCGGTCGCCCTCGTCAATGTCGCCTATGGCAGCAGCGGTTATCTGCGTGAGTTGTCACACGCACGCTTCTCTGCAGCATTTACTCCGCTTTCTCGTTTTCCCGCTGTCCCGCTTGTCCCCGATTGTCGACGATTGCGCCACCCCGTGCCCTACATTGCCCCTCCAACCCCCCCTCCCTTGCGCCCATGCCCTCCCCCACCCACCGCCCTGCAGCTTCTCGCCACCCATCTCTGTGCCGCCACAGCTACACACCCACGCTCTTTACGGGCATTGGAAAGTCCGGAGAGCACTGGAAGCACTGGGACCGATGGGAGCAGTGGGAGTGCAGGAGTCGTGGCAGGTGCTATTCCCAGCACTGCCACTCCCGGACGTGCTAGCAGCCGCAGCCGCAACCGCATCACCGGTCGCCACGTGCCGCAGTGAGTGCAGCTTTCGGCACTCCTCAGTCCCTTCTCCCCACCTCCCCGTCCTTTTGTCCCCTTGCTTGCTGTTTTCTCCCCCTGATGCGCCTCTCTCCCTCCTCTGCCTTCTCTTCATGCTCAAGCCTCTCTCCTTCTCCTTCTCCCTCTCCCCCACTCCCCCCTTCCCCACGCCCGTCATCTGAAGCCCCCTGTGCACCATGCCTTGTCAGGTCCCGCGGCCCCTGCGGCTCCACATCACTGCACGCTAACTGTACCACCCAACAGCCAGAGCGGGTCAAAGCCAGGGAGTGACACCAAGCTTTCACTTCCTCTCCTTTCCCAACAAAATCCCTCCCCGTCCCCCATTCCCCACCCTCCCGTCTCCCTTTTCCCTCCCCTCCAGCTCACTCCGCCCGTCACCTCGCACAGAAGTACACACAAGCAACACCACCACCACCACCAGCACCACCACCACCAGCACCACCAGCAGCAGCAGCAGCAGCAGCACGGTGTACCGGCCACTGGGAGTGCTGGAGTCGGGGTGCGGCACGGCGACGTGTGACGAGGAGCCGTGGCGGTGCAACGTGATGAGCGACCCCATCAAGGTGTACCTCATCTGGCACGGCGCCTTCTCCCACGCACAGAAGGAGGTCGTGCGCACCTTCGTGCGCTCGCTCAGTAGCTCGGAAGGCACTGGTGCGTGCTAGGGGGGACGGTGGGAGGGGTGTGGATGTGGTCTGAGAAGGGGAGAGGGCACGGCTGCCAACCCAACCAAACCATCCCACGCTCTCACCTTCCCAACCCCCCTCTCTCTCCACTCCCCCCACTCCTCCCCCCACTCCTCCCCCCACTCCTCCCCCTACCACATCCCTCCTGTGCCACCGCAGTGGCGGGGTGGTGAAACGACTCTCAACCCCCCTCCCCTCGTCCCCACGACTCCTCCCTGCCATTCCCCATCCCGCCCACCCATGCCACCCCTTCCCCCCCCCACAGTGGCGGGGTGGTGGGACATATCAGAACTATACGACGACTGCAACGGCAACACGGTGTCCGCCTCTGTCTCCCTGGGCGGGGAGATGCAGGTGCGCCCCAACGCCATGCGCCTGCTGCTGGGGGAGCGCTCCATCGTCAACCTCGTGCGCATGGGCATCAACCGCGGCAAGTTCCCTGCTGACAAGAACGGCGTCTACTTTGTCATCGGCAACCGCTACAGCAAGCAGGTGCGTGCTGGGTTGGTGGGTGGCTGGGTGGCTGGGTGGGTGGCTGGGTGGCTGGGTGGGTGGGTGGGTGGGTGGGTGGGTGGGTGAGTGGGTGGGTGGGTGGGTGGGTGGGTAGCTTAGGCAGCATAACGCGGGCGTGTGCTTTGGCTAGGTATCCCACTGGTTGGGTTGGGTGGGTGGATTGGGAGGGTAGGCCCATAGGGGTAATCCAGTAAGCTGGAGGAGGAGGAGGGCAACCGTAGTGGTGGTGGTGCTGTGCTCATTCTGTTTTGGAATTGTCAAGAGTGGTATCAACTGTGCGCATGGCTGGACATGCATGTGCATCTCAACTCAAGGTGGAAAGGATGCCGTTGCTGCTCAAAGTGAGGGGCCGTGACCCAACTGAGCCTCTCCTCCACCCGTCCCTTCCACCTCTCCTCACCTCCCCTCGCCACTTCTCACCACCACATCCCTAGTCACCTTCTCACCATTCCCCGCACCCGCCCTCTCTTCCCCCCTGCCCCCCTGTGCGTGCCGCTGCTGCCCTGTGCGTGCCGCTGCTGCCCTGTGCGTGCCGCTGCTGCCCTGTGCGTGCCGCTGCTGCCCTGTGCGTGCCGCTGCTGCCCTGTGCGTGCCGCTGCTGCCCTGTGCGTGCCGCTGCTGCCCTGTGGCATGCCGCTGCTGCTGCGCCACCCATCGCATCACCAGTGGTCATCACTGAACCCCTGGGGCGACAACTTCTGCAGTGGCTTCTGTGGCTGGCACAGCTACCGCACCATCAAGGGCAAGCAACTCAAGTATGCCTTCGTTGGCAACCCCGCCGGCAGGGTGAGTAACTCACTCAGTCACCACCGCGCCTCTCCCTTCTTCTTCCTATGCGCCCACCCCTGCCCCTACCACGCCTGGCCGTGCGTTTCTTCCGGCCCTGATCCTCCCAGTTCCCCGGCTCCTTCCCTCTCTTCTCCACCCACCTCCCCAGCACAAAACGCACCGATTCCTCTCTTCCCCCCTCCTCTCCTCTTCCCCCCTTCCTCTTTGGCAAACATTGTTGCCTTAAAACCCACCAATTACTTGGGTTATAAGTCCCAGTAACACGGGTCAAAGTGAGCAAAAACATCTGTCGCTCTATTTCCACCCAGCCTCGGGGTTAAGGAAAAAAGTCTAAGGATACTTTCATCCTCAACTAGGGTGATCCCTAGTTGTACACCCAAAATAAGCCTCGGCAATCATATCAATTACACAGGATATTGTTATAACATCAACCCCTCGTTCTCCCACAGCATCCCACTTCCGTGCCTGGTTCTTTTTATAATATTATACCTCTGCAGTGCAGGCGAGGTCACGGAAATGTCACCACCATGTGGGTGCAGTGCAGCAGTGATCAACACCACCATAGTCAACAGTAATAAACCATGGCCAACCATGGCCAGCCATGGCCAGCACTACGTGCAGTGCAGCAGCACCGTGGGTTAGCAGTGTTGCCACGCTCTAGTGTACCCCTTTCCCCCTCCTGTCCCCCTCCCCTTCCCCCTCCCAACCCTCTCCCACCGCCCCACGCCCCACCCACCCACCCACCCGCAGTGCATGTGGTCGTGTGGCGGCAAGACGCTGTACAACGCAGCAGCAGGGCCGAGCGGGGTGGGCAAGGGCATGGACTCGGTGGTGTCCACTCTAGCCCACGAGCTCACGGAGTCTGCCACTGACCCGTACCTCGCCACGTGGAGCGATGCTGATGGCTATGAGAACGCTGACGTGTGCGACATTGAGTGAGTAGCTGGGATGGTGGTTGGGAGAGGAGAAGGAGGGGATGCTGGGGAAGTGGGTGTGGCTTGTGTGTATGAGCATCTAAGGAGGAGAGGGCACACACACAGCAATGGCGGTGGAATTGAGGTCATTGCACTCCCCACTGCCGTCTCAACCCTGTCTTTGTCAGACCAACCTCACGCCCCCTTCATTTCCCTTTCCACTCTCTTCCACCTTGCCTTTTGACCCGCCTTGCTCTCTCCTTGCGCTTGTTGCGCCTTGCGCCTTCCTCTCCCTGTTACAGTCACACTGCTGCAACCTTCACGCCCAGCCAAGGGGCATGCAGTAGCAACATCCCTCACCCTGTCGTACCCCTGTCCTCACCCTCCTCCACCATCTCCTCGCATCTCCTTCCCCCATTCGCAGCTTCACGAGCAGTGATCTCTCCACAACATCGGATGGAGCCCCGTACAATCTAGTGGGCATAGGGGGGTCCAAGTTCCTGGTGCAGAAGAACTACCATCCCACCCAGCACGAGTGCGTCAACACGGTGTAGCGTAGAGTCACATTCACGGCTCAGCAGCAACCCCCACACAAGCAGGCAATCGTGACATGGCGCCAATCGCATAACGCCACAGACGCAATCGCATAACGCCACAGACGCACCATCTGGAGGGTTGGCTTGGCTTGGCTCGCCCCGTCACCACCACCACTACCACCACCCACTGCTGGCTAACAGAATCTCAACTTCCCAAGACACCCAGATGCTGCATCTCGCAGCACAACAGGCCGTTTCAGCTGTCTAGTTGGTATCGCATCACATACTGTAGCACTTGACGTCTCTGCAAGCTTACTGGGTGCCTGGGTGTCATGTGCCTTTCATATAGTAAGCTGGTTTTTGTTTCCTTCCTGTTAGTGAGCTGCAGGTAAGGTCAAAGCTAAGGTACTCAAAAAACTAGGGGCACTAAAGGAGCAAGATGGGACTGATCACTATTCAGCGGAAACAGCACACTAACTTGCAGTATGCCTGGCCGCTTACCGTAAGTCACCAGGATAATCCTCCAGCCGTTTTGTTCTTTCTGTGTGAACCATGTGTAGCGGCAAGTTGTCGATGAAGCCGCGCGACGTGAACAAAGCTGGTTATTTTACGGTAGTGAGTCTTTGCTTATGCATTCAATTCCGTCAGGCCTCCCATGACTAGAGGTACCAGTATGTCTTCGCTCGTCAGCAATACCATAATCACCCGGATAAATTCCCTGTCTTATAAAGCAGCGAATATGAGCCATCGGTTGATATTTTTCCAATTCAACGTCCGCCATCATACAAGACCTACGCATCACCTACAACCAATCTACAAAAATCGGCACCGCAACAAATAACACGCAGCCAAGTCCGCTGACCATCAACCGGCGCGCAGGCTATTATTATCGTCACTAGGCATCACCGCAGCTGAGCCTCGTAATCAGCCCCGCACAGCGGCACACACAATCCCGCCCGCCAGTCTCCGCCTGCTCTGCGCTGATTGCCGCTCGCTCTCCGCGCACGTGCTTCCTGTGACGGACCCTTCCGACTCCGCGGCCGCCAATATTCCGCGCGCCGCCGCAGCCGGGCGGGACCAGGCGCCGTTTAATCTCCTCACTACACGCGGAGTTTCCCGAACTACCCCTCCGGCGCATCGCTTCGGAAGAAGCGCCGCAACAGCTGGCGCAGCTGCAAACGCGGCGGTGCGTTCTCCCCGAATACTCTCTGCCTCTGCTGCCACCAAGCCGCCGCCGCCGGTAACGCGCGCCAGCAGATCACGCGTGGCAGCCGCCTCGGTTTCAATTCTGCGGAGCTTCTCGACGCGCTCGTTGATTGCGCGCATGCGGTCGAGGGCAGCGGCGCGGATGTCCAGGGACTGAGCGAGGGATTGGCGCAGCCGCGCGCGGAGCGCGGCCATGCCGGGCGCAACTGTATCAGCAGCAGCAGGGGCAGCAGCCACAACGAGAGATGCCGATCCGCTAGGGCTGCATTCGGAACACTTTTCCTCCGCGTCGTTCTGTTGCGATGGCGCCGCGCTGCCGGGAAAAACAGCCGCGTGAGTCAAGCCAGTTGCGGCGGAAGACACGTGTTCCGCTGGTGTCGTAGCGCGCATGTCGACACCCATTTGCACGCGAAGGCGTTTCGCTGGTCGCGCGTGGTCGGTCATGGTTTCACCCGATGTTCCACTAGCGATTGAGGTGTAGTGCGCAGCTGAAGCGAGTGTCGTGGGGAAAGCTTGCGACTGAAGTGGCCTCTGAGCAATGGTGGGCGTAGACATGATGATTGAGCACCTTGCTTGTTTGCTACGTAGCTGGAAGGTGAGGGAAGTCAATGTTTTTGTTTGCTCTCTCGTGCACGAAATGGGAAGACGAAGTGAAGGGCTGGTGTTGCCGCCTTTCGGATTGCACGGTCTACTGTATATTGAAGTGGTTGGGCGAGGCATCATCTCGCTCTGGCCCATGACACTGACGCATAGGGTGCGGTTTGGTTTAGGTTGCGGTGCGGCGGTAGGGCTTCTGGCAGGCTGCTGGTGGCAGATTGGCGTAGCGGTTTGGCAGTGTGTGTGTCGGTTGTGCTGCTGTGATTGGTGGGCAGATGTCATGGCTGGATGCTTCGGCTAAAGTCAGCGGACAGAATGTTGCCGCAGAGATCGGGGATTTTCATTGGTGCGTTCCTCAAACGAACACTTGCGGTTCGTTGCAGTGAGAGGGGAGGTGAGGGAGTTCCCAGAGGCATCTGGAAGCCGTTTGGGCACCGTGTCAGCGATAGACACGTGATTCTGGCATGGCGTCTCACCTCAGGGCACACCCCCTCACCCCTCGAGCAGCGTGCGACCGGACCGGACGGGTCTGTGTGGATGGGGTGGGTGTGTGCGATGTGAAGCCGAGAAATCCCTTCCGCCATCTGGGGTTGTGTGTGGAAGCTGGCCAATCAGGGCCACCTGCAGCTGCCCTTGTGAAACCAAGCGCCTCATGGTGCGGAGGGGTCTGTTTAGCTTCACGCACGTCAGGTGTGGCGGCAAATCTCCCCAAATGAATGAAGCCGCATCGCGTGGTCAACCCACCTGAGCGCTTATGCACCGATGCGCTGTGACCAACCAGCTGACACTGACCTGTAAAACTGCCGCGGTGCTTCTATTGGAGTTAGCTTTTTGGGGGGATACAGGCGTTTCCGAAAGTGTCAGGACAGAACGCACAATTCTGTTTACTCTTCATTATGGATTAAGTTTGATACAAAGTCGTGGTAAAGAAGATAAGGGGTATTAACGAAAGGTAGAAATGGTGGGACAAGGAAAGGGTGATAAGGAGGTAAGAGATGAAGGAGAAGAGAAAGTCCGAAGGAAAGGTGAAAAGAGGAAAAGAAGAGAGCGAGAAACTAAAGGAAGGAAGCACCTAGGGACCAAAGCACCACAGCAACCCGCACCGCATCGCGGGACAAAGCCTCTCAAGCACATTCGCTAAACGCCTACACGTATGCATTGTACATATACTGCATGTCTGCCACGCTCTCAAAGCAGCCGGTAATGTGATGACAACTGCCCTGCCCTGCACCCAAAGGGACTGATGCGGGCATCCACCTCGTCGTCAGGCCCTCCCAACTGCCCTACCGCATGCTGTATAATACTCTGAGCCTGTGCTTGCTGCAGTGCCACGGAAAGTTGTGTGGTGAGTCCAGTCTCAAAAATCCGAGCTGACCCGTCATTCCTCCCCCCCCCCCCCCCCCCCAAGTCTTTACGCCGCTTTGCAATCCGCTGCGCGCAAAGCCCTAGAAACTGCCTCATTGGCTCACTAAGCAACCCAAATGTCTCACTACACATGCATAAAAATGAGGCGACGGTAATCCCTCCAGGTGCGGTTTCCAGTCCCGCAACTTGTCCTGTACTCGCCTAGCCACTGCAACCTCTATCTGCACTAGGGCTACTCGTCTAAGCCCGGTATTTCCCTGTTGCTGTGGATCTGCAATAGAGACGTCTACCAACACCATCAGCGTTATTTCTATGTCGTGGCAAGTCAGGTCTAGAATGCGGGTTGGTGTCCCTATGCGGCCATTGCGTCCGGCCTGCCTTTTGCTGCTGTACTGGTTGATGCTGTGCCTGGTCCCTCTGTGCCTCCTCCCCTGTCGCCTCTGCCCCTCTATCCTCTCCCCCAACCACCTGCCTCCTCCCATCCCCGCTCCCCAACCCCAAACCCCCCGAGCACCCTCGCCCCATCCCCCCCCTCCATACCCTCTAACCCCCGCACTCTCGTAGTCGTGTCCCCTGCCACCTCCTCTCTCGCCCCCTGGAGTGGTAGCCCCGCCCGCCCTTGCTGGCCATCTCGCTGCTGCCCCTGCTGTCCCTCTCCTCTCCCGCACTCGCCGGCCTCCCCAGCCCGTGCTGAACCTCCTGTTGGTGGCTGTGCTGTCCTCTCTCCTCTCCCCCACCAGCCTGCCCCTCCTATCCCTGCTGGCCCTACTGTTGATGTTGTTGCTGCTGCCGCTGCTGCTGCCGCCGTTGCTGCCGCTGCTGTCCCCACTCCTCACCCCCACTAGCCTGCCCCCACAAACCCTCCTGCTGCCACTCCTGTTGACCCTCCTGATGCTATACCCGTCCACCTTCCTGCAGCTGCCCTTGCTGGCCTCCCTCCTCACCCCTACTTGCCCACCCCTCCTGCCCCTGGTGGCCCTCCTGCTGCTGTCGTTGCTGTTGTTGTCTCCTCTCTTCCTCCCTGCCAGCCTGCCCTTGTTGATCCTCATGCCGCTGCCCTAGCTGATCCTCCTCTTGCTGCCCATGCTGTCCCTCTTGCTGTCGCCCCTGCTGGCCTTGCTGACACTCCTGGTGTTGCCGATTCTGACCTCTCCCCTCTCCCCCACAATCTTGGCGCTGCAGCCCCTGATGGCCCTGCTGCTACTCCTGCTGCTGCTGCTGCTGCTGCTGCTGCTGCTGCTGCTGCTGTTAAACTGTATTATGCTTGTAGGCTGTAGTGGGGTAGCCAATATGGGGTACAACCCCAACTAGGGTTTGATATTTGTACCCAAACTTCTGCTAGTTCATCATTCTTGCCTAGTTATCTTGAGATGGTATTCAAAGCAGGAGGTCCCTAGGACCTACCGACCGTTTTTTTTAGGGCCCACCACCGCTCGCATGCGGTTACCACGCTACCCCGTGCCCTAGCCTTTTAGCGCCCTCGCGCGCCCCTCGTTAGCGCCCTCGCGCGCACCCTCGTTAGCGCCCTCGCGCGCCCCTTCGTTAGCGCCCTCACGCGCCCCTTCGTTAGCGCCCTCGCGCGCCCCTTACTAGCGCCCTCGCGCGCCCCTCACTAGCGCCCTCGCGCGCCCCTCGCCGAGCCGCCCGCTCGCAGCCCGCCCGCCCGCTCGCTGCCCGCTTCGCGGCCCGCTCACTACGCAGCCCGCCCGCCCGCTCGCTGCCCGCTTCGCGGCCCGCCCGCTACGCAGCCCGCTCGCTCGCTGCCCGCTTCGCGGCCCGCCCACTTCGCAGCCCGCCCGGCCGCTCGCTGCCCGCTTCGCGGCCCGCCCGCCTCGCAGCCCGCTCGCCCC